GAGGAGAGGAGAGGAGAGGAGAGGGGCAGGCTGTACGAGTCAACGCATGGCGACAACAGGCATGCAGCCAGGCTCTCGAACATTTAACCAGGCACCAGAACCTCCTTTCACCACCTTTAGGAAATCTAAGTAAGCAACCATCTGCCACAGATACCCTATCGGCCAAAGATGCCCCGACAAAAGCCCTAAGCCTCAAACCCTCAACCCTCAACCCTAAACCCTAAACCCAAAACCCTAAACCCTAAGGTTTTGGGGCCTAGAACGAAAAACCGACCCAGTTTTGCACGGAAGGTGCCGCGTCTCCACAGCATGGGGTCGGCTCCACGAGTGAGAAGGTAGACCAGGATCTCTACCCTCAGTGGTTTCGGGTTTCGGGTTTTGGGTGTGGGGGTAAGGGTCTTGGGTTTGGGGTTGTGATGGAGGGTCTAGGGTTGTGAGTGAGGGCTTTCGATTTCAGGATCAGGATCTCCCAACCAAGACATCTCGAAGGCCTGCAACTCTGCCTGAATTCTGAATTCCCTAGGCTCCTAACCGACGATTTAAGGACAAGACCTTGGGCAAGGAATGCAAAATACCGGGCTCGGGGCCGCTAGGGCCCTCCCCTGAGACCAGTTCAGCCATCTCTTTACATATCTCTTATAACTACTCCCAATGGAGGCTCGAGGTGTGGGGTGTAGGGGTTAGGGCTTAGGGACACAAGGTACGCATCTGATAACCTGAGGTGGCTTAAGGTGTCGGCTATGCGCTGCGTAGCATCTGCAGGTCCACTGCGGGTACGTGCACTTTGGCATTACATCACCTCCACAACATGGTCCATTACTGGGGACTGAGAAACAATAATAATATCCCTCGCTAGGGCTCCCTGAAAAAAATGTGGCAGAAGCTCCACACCTAGTCTAACTCGGGCTCAGGCTTCCGATTGGGGGCTTGGGGTTTCAAGGCTGTAAGGTTTCAGTTTAGGCTTTGGGGTTTCAGGTTCTAGTGAAAAGCAGGCTGGAAGGATGCCTCTCTGTCATGCGACCTGGTACAACAACTCCTTTGATGGTGCAGTTTCCTGCAAGACTACCCGATATGTACCCTAAACCCTAAACCCTAAACCCCTAAACCCTAAAACAGTGTCGAGCCAGACAAGGTCGTTCGTCCAAGTGTCTGTCCCCAGACCACGGCCATCTCGAGTGGGGTGTAGCCTAAGAAATGCACTCCAAGCAACTAGGCTGGGTAATCGCCTTCCCACACCGTACCCATAATGAACTCAAAAGTGTGAACGCCCAATCTAAACCCGTACACCCGCAATGCCCAAACCAGACCTCTTGATCAGATTAATTTTGAGAGAAGACTTCCGTTCATGGTCATGAAAGCTGTAGGGGTTTAGGGTTTAGGGTTTAGGGTGTAGCTTCAGCTGCATACCAAATTTAGGATTTGGCTGGGTATAGGTCTAGAAGCCAGAATTCCCCACGGCCGAAACGAGACATAGAGTACCCGCAAGGCTCGCGGTCTAGGGAAGTTTGTAGCTTTAAGGTTTAGGGCTTTAATGTAAGGGCCTTGATAATTAGAATAGGGTTTTGGGGTATATTATGCTGTGACTATAAAAAGGAACCCCCAAAATAGCATAGATAGTCATAACGGCCCTTATGTTGAGTATGGGCGCCGTATCCGGTCGGGCATTCAGATGAAGACGAGTGACCTTTTCTCTCCGTGTTCAGTGTCTTGACGCCGACCTGCCCACAAAGCTCAAGGTAAAACAGCTTAGAAGAAATGCTTCGAGACTGCCAGGGCCCTCGGTATCAACGCCTCAAAACTCTGGCTGCACTATTGGCTACTAGTCTTGGCCAATGCGGAGCACATGCCATTGGGGGTCCCGTTTCGAATCCACAAACAAGGAGCTCTTCCCTCCTTGGACAAACATGCCACTGTACGATCTGCCTAAGATGGCTTAGGGCCCCGTGGCAACCGTATACATACCTGGAATGGACCTGAAAAACAAGCTTATATGACACCAGACAAAATTTAGGTTTTACAAACTCAGCGACTTGCCAGTATAGTATCCCTACATCGAAAAGGGATACTAGAATCTGTAAGCAGATATGATAACAGATAACACGTGAATGAGAACCGTCCCAACCTTGTGCTGGGATGCGCAGAGCTGGCGCAATGCGCTGGATGTCCAAACATTCTTAACTCATCTACTTGACTTTACAAACCCAACGGGCCCTGAGTACCTGCAAAGTACAGGGTAGAGTTTCAACAGTAGGAATTACCTTTTTGCTTTAGGTACCTATCCCCTATATAGGTACTTAGGAAGCTTTGCGCAACCAGGATTTCATACAACGCAAATCGCTGCGTCGAAGAAGGCCTCGTCCACCAAATATCTCAGGGTGGTGATGTTGCCGGTCATCACGGCGCTATTCCTGGGCGTTTTGAGGCCAGAAAGTACTCAATTTAGGCGCATCAACAATCAGAACAGGGCTTCGGGGTACATTAGTACAACTGTGATAAGGAGTCCCGGGAATAATATCGATAATACATTCCTGCCTCTAGCCTTCATAGCGTCTCCAAATCTTAGACATGTGTGTCCACGGCTCCTCCTCGTTCGCAGCACGACACCAAATACTTGAAACGAAGCGGTCCCAACACCTGAAACCTACACGCTTTTGGTAACGCATGTTTCGATGCATCTATAAGCCGTAGAGACAAACCTTTCTAGAATCCTTCACGGGCCCCATTGGGAACCTTGTACAAAGCTTATAGAGCCCACCCACCCCATCATCTACGCTCCTCGGAAACCCTGGTGCTCCAGCTGCCAAGTAGTGGGAGACCTAGGGAAGGCTAACACAGACCAGGATCAGATGGATCCGCGCGATCCACGGAGCGCCCTGCGGTCACAGGCTCTTCGTGTCGGGTTTAGGGCTTACGGTTTAGGATTTACGGTTTAGGGCTCAGGGTTCGACGAAGGGCATGTGCGACTTATAAGGGGTCCAAGCTTGGAGTTGTAGGGTTTGTGTGAAGGTTAAAGGGGTTTAGGACGGTTCTGTTAATTTTACATATCGGGTTTGTATAGCGAGTAAGCGCGTCAGGAAGGTTCGCAGGATTTCGTAAGGGTCCTACCGCAGCCTCCATGACGTGTTTTGAGGAATCGAGGGCTAGCAGGCAGCAGTCCTCTTCAATTCAAAGAAGGGCAGTGGACGTACCACTATAAATGAAGTGCACGAAACCAGCATCAATTAATCAAATATCGCGTTCTCTGTCTACGTTTCATACTGACGCCCTCTTACATCTTACAGCAGCAGTTACCCCAAACTCGTAGTCGGGCAAGCATACCAGGACCCTCAATTAGGGGTATATGGCCCCAAATAACGGGGATGAAGGGTCTAATAAAGGAGAGATGGAGGGCCTAGGGGCCTAGGTAGCTAGATTAGAGGCCTTACATGTCCGTAGGCAGGGATTCCGGATGCAAGTCCCAAAGCTCATGACAGCCACAGGCCAGAGCCCACACGTCAAGTCAAGTTACTGTATGTAAGACCCTAAACCCTAAACCCTAATCCCCAAACCCTAAACCTTAAACTCGATAAACCGTAAGAAAAAACGAAAGCAAACCCGAACCCTAAGAGTCATTTCTGGCCTCGGCTTCCTGCACGGCACCTGGGCAAGACTTTCGATGCCTTCGCTGAAGTTAGGATCTTCTGGATCAGTTATTCACCATCATATGTTATGTTGTACTATGTTGTGATATCTACTATACTGTACTAAACTATGTTATAATCTATGGCACTATGTCAGCGTGATCCTGCTCCTCCTCCGAGACTCTGCAAAGTGTTGACCGAGCCTGCCTCTGTCAGGGGGTTCTGTGTAGGCTTATACTATTTCGTAAAGCCCTAAACCCTCTTAATTTTGGGGAAAACTGAAACTGACACCCCGGCCCCAACCACGGAAATTTTGAATTCCGAAAGCTGTAATGTATCATTCCTCGGTTATACCTTCTGCAAACATAAAAGAATTACTAATGTCATTTGTACGGCATCAAGATTTAGGTTGTCGAAAACCCGGTCCTCCTATGCACAGCCCGGAAAACCAAAAGTTGTCGCTTGGGCATGGCGCGCTGGAGTGGACGATAGCCATCCTTGGCTGGGCTCGTCTCGGCTTGCGCTGCTTAGGGTTTAGGCTTAGGGCTTAGGGTTTACTTTTGTGCCGGGGTAAACCAACCACTAAATACTTTCCTGGGGGCCCAGTATGGAGGTTTGAGGCAGTGTGCAAATCACAAAGTTTGAGGGGGCCGGATTCTTTATGCGTGCATTGTGCTGTCTGCAGAAACATATTCCCTGTTCGTGATACCAGATTTCGCAAATAATTTGAACCACTCGGAGGTTTAGGGTTTGGGCTTAAGCTTTAGAGGGTTTCGGGTTTAGGGTTTAGGGTTGGGATATCCCTCTACAGGGCTGAAGGTGAAGGATGAATTCTGCATTTAACGAACCGGGACTCCATTTGAAGACCGAGCCCGTTGTAATTCCAACAATGTCCGAGCCCCCTCATCACGTGCACCTGCTAAATTAGTAGTGCAAACGAACTTTCAGAAAAATGAAAATCGCAGACCCTAAACCCTAAACCCTAAACCCTAAACCCTAAACCTGCGGAACCCTGAATAACAAACACTTCTTGAGCCCCACATAGCGGAAAAATCATAAACCCTTCCAGCTATTGCCTTGCGAATACGAATACCAATGCACACATGAGCCAACCGCCTGTTGCCGGTTGAAGCCGTCATGGAGGCTAAGCGCAAAGGGGATTCGAAGTGATTCTTCAGGGCGTCGGGGTTTAGGTTAATGGCTTAGCTCAGCTTTGCGTTCTAGGATTCCTGGCATCAGTTTTGCCAACTTCGGAATTAGGATCAAAAGTTTGAGTCGTATCAGGGTTGCAGCTCACGCTGGTACCAGGTTGGAGCTTCCATCTTCACTGCCTGTTTGTCGTTTTAGAAACGGTTTAGGTTCAGGGTCTAGGGCTTTTGGTAACAAATCCCAGCATCCAAACCGCGGCCAGTGAGATAGCTGATATCCTCGAGAATCTCGTCGTCATCGTCCATGGGACGACCCGTGAGGTGATTGATCCGCTTGTGGTGGAGCTCTATTCATGGGCTAGGCTTGGGACAACACCAAGGCTTTGGAAATGTGATGCAATGAATTTCAGAGCAGAAGTCTTGGGAAATTCGGCCGTGGGTTTCGCTGCGTGTCTCGCTATTTTGCATCTTGTTACTACACCTTACTAAGGTATTTTATCTCTTTTTGATTTGATGTTATTGGGGGGGCTTTGTTGCCGCACCCTGCAGCGCATACTGCCGTGCCTGTCGCAGTGACAAGAAGCATCTGGAGCCGAAAGTGTGGTCTAGGGTTTTGGGGGGACCCTTCGGGATATGGACCCAAGAGAGCCAGAAGAAGGGTGTCAAGAAGGGTCCCCACCCTATGAAGTCTCCCTAGTACAACCGAGGAAAAGAAGCGACTGTCGATCAGACCCTGTTGGCTTTAGGTGCAACCCAAACCCCAAGTCACGAAGCGATACCGATGCAGCACCCTGAGCCATGAGCCTTACACCCCAATCCCCAAAACCCGCTCCCCAAAAATTCCCAAACAGACTGAAACCGAAGCTCTCAGACACGAACCGCTCAAAGCACAACCCAAGAGCTCTCCCGCAAGATCTGCTCGAAGACGTTGAGATTCGGTTGTCGAAAGCCTCGGCTCAATACAGCGAGGCAGTATGGGCATTTAGTGCTACTGCTAGAGGTATTGCGAGTTTGGATAGGGTCGGTCATGGTGTAGCTTTCGGCTTTCGGGTCCGTGGCCTGGGCCTTCTATGGCATACAGATCCCGGAAAGAAGATGCAAACCCTCAGTGTAACATGCATGTCGCGACCCGTCCACTTCCAATCCCCTAAACCCTAAACCCTAAACCCTAAACCCTAAACCCTAACCCGCAGGGCTCGAAAGCCTGCTGTGCGACAGTGACACCTGATCGTTGGCAAAGCGCCCGCTAAACTACTCACGGGGCTCCCGAAAACAAGACCGAACACCAAACCCCATAAAGCCCTAGGGAAGTACCGAAAATCCGAACCCTGTCTCCTAAACTGCGAACCTAGACCCAACTACCCTCTATACTATAGCCCCCCCAAAGACCCTCCAATAAGGATCACAAGGGCTTTCTTACGGGGTAGTTTAAGGGGTCCTGAACCCTGGCCCTAAACCCTAA